ACACACACACACACACACACACACAAACACAGAGTGGGGGTGGGGGAGGTCCTTAGCACACATTTCCAACCTTCAAGAGATCAGTGAGCCCAAAGTTCTTGGATTGCAACATTTGGCGCATGTCAATGCCAAATGTTCAGTTTTGAAACATGAAATTGGATTGGTGGCGTGTGCACAAATGGCACCCAGACACGAGGGCCAGGACACTAGTTTTTGGCCCAAGAACCTTCCAATCCTCCTTTGGCTTTATCAGTTAATATCTCCTGCCTTGTATAGGGGGGAATCCCTTTCTGTATTACAGTAGAGTATTGTCTTGAGTATTCCAGAAGAGGGGAAATCACAGACTAGGAAAGTCATCTAGAACGAAGACGACTAGTCCATCTCAGAGTCCAGCAGGTCCAGGTTCAAGTTAAGCCTCTCCCTACATTACCTTGAACAGGTGATATCACCTTTTTGAGTTTCAATTTCCCCTCCTGGGAAAGAAGATCATAACTCTCAGAGCTGTTTGGAAGAGTAGATGAGATGACACAAAAACACCAGTTAGCATCATGTCTCTCTGTTAAAAGCATGTATGATATTAGACTCTGCATTATAACAGACTGGATTAGGGATCCCTGCAGTCCAAAAAAGTCTCTCAGGTAAACAATAAATATTGTGTCTCTGTTTCTGATGTGACTTTGTCTTTGCCTCTCAACATTCAATTTTTAAGAATGGTAAGGTACTAACAGTTCATCCCAGCTGATAATGACCATTATCAACAATCGAGTACAGCAGGCCCCGATCTGCTACTGACTTGCTGTGTATCTGTATCTCTTTGCAGTCCCTTCATGCAGCTCCAAGCTGGGCACCAGAGCATAATAATGGCTCACCTCAGTATTAAGCACTTATTATGTACTAGGGACCCTGCTAAGCATTTTTCATGCGTTGATGCACTTAATCCTCACAATAATCCTTTTATAAGATCCATTTTGCAAATGAGGAACAGTGCCAAGCTCTGGGGGTTCCAATTGATCCAAGGGCTGGGGTGCATCAAGTCTTCCCCTGCTTCCCTCCTACCTCACTGGCTTGGGAGTTTCCTTTGGCCCTGGGCTGAACGTGGGGTGAGGGCGGCTTCCTACACTTGCTCAATGGTTTCCTCTGACCCCAGGCTCAGGAGGCTGCTAGGAGGGATCTTTTCTCATATCTGTGTCTTAAAGCCCCTTGATTTATAGTAGCAGAAACTTAGGGTGTGCCTCCCTATCTACACTCTTACAGCAAGAAGGTTTCTGTAATTTCTCTTTCCTGTGTGACAGTTCCCTTCCTGTCAGATCCCAAAGTCCTTTGCCCTCGAGGTCCTGTGGATGGGACGCACTGACCTGGGAGAGCCCACTGCCTGCTTGGGTATGGCATTGCTGCTGCTTCCACATTAGGTCTGAGAATGCAGGAATGAACCTCTGGACAGCAGAAAGGCAATCCTTTATCTTTGCATGATTTACGAAGTTCTTTGCCCACCCATTAGCCTGCCACAGTGCATGAAATTCTGCCACTAAGGTTTTATTCTTCCATGGTAAGGATTGTGCTCCTAAATTTTAGCAGATAATCACTTTGATACTTTGCCAACCTGGATAGTATAGTTAAAATCACTTGGCTGCTAATGTCAGGGTCAATGGTGTATTCCCACCAGCTGCCTCAGGCAAGAAAGAGGAGGCAATTGGCTTCCATAAAGATTTACAGCCTCAGAAACCCTATGGGGCGGTTCTACTATGTCCGCTGGGGTAGCTGGGGGTCAGAATCAATTCAACCAATTCAGCAGTGGGCTTTGTGTCATGCCCAACAGGCTGATGCTGAGCATTTTTTTATCTTCTCAAGTCTTAGCTCTGTCCTCTGTAAAATGAAGCAAATGGCCCTTATTTTGTAACCATTAACCCCATTGCCTTTGAGTTAATTCAAACCCATGCTAACCCCTTGTGGGTCAGAGTAGAACACACCATGTCCTCTGCAGGGATTTTCGCAGCTGGTTTATTTGGGAAGTAGATTACCAGGCGTTTCTTCTCAGATACCTGTTTATGACACAAATATCCAGCCTTTCAATTAGCGGCTGAGCCAGTGAACCATCTGTATTTCCCAAGGACTTTGCTTGACCTTGCAGTGTCATTTAAAGGAGTAGACTTACTGAATGCAGTGTGTTCACCTATATTATGATAATCTGCAAATGGCATTATTCCTACCTCTTTAACAAGAGTGAGTGTCTCATCATCATCTGGAAAAGGCAGCATGGGGTACCAGTAACCCATGACTGCCCACTTCATCTCAGAGGCTCCTCTCCCCTGCGTGGCTGACATCATCTTTGTGCCGACCACTGCCCCGCACACACTAGCTCTAAAATGAACCAACCAGAACTTTCTCACCTCTGCCAATGTCTTTGATCATGGTGTGGAGCATGTTCTGTGTCAGTAATTATCAAAGAACAGGCTCAGCCGTCTCAAGCAGCATCAGTATCACCGAAGGCCTTGTCAGAAATTCAAGTCCTCAGTCACTCCAGACTGACTGAATCTAAAACTCTGGGTGTGGGTCCAGCAGACTGTGTTTGAACAAGGTCTTCAGGTCATTCTGGGAGCACTATTCTGGACGAAGGCATTTCCCTACCTCTGTTTGAATCCCTGCTGGCTCCTCAGTCAGTTCCCTTAACTTCTCTGAGCTCCCATTTCCTCATCTGTAAAGTAGGAATAATAATAATAATAATAATAATAATAATAATAATAATAATAATAATAATAATAATAATAATAATAATAATAATAATAATAATAGTACCTACTTTACAGAAGGGTGCTCTGGTAGCCTAGTGCAATCCAGAAGGCACCTGGTTCAAATCCACCAGCTACTCCATGGAAGAAAGATGGACAATCTCCTCCTGTGAGATTCACTGCCTCTAAAAACCAGCTGGAGGCCCAGCTATGAGTTGGTTCTGACTTGATGGCACATAACAGCAGCAACAGCCTTACAGGGTTATGAGAGTTTTATGACATGGGCTTAGCTCAGTGTCCAAAACATGGCCATTGCTTTACAAAGATTAGATGTTCTGTTTTTCCATCATCATTGTTATCCAGTTTTATGCCCTCATCTGAGTGAATCCTCAATCATGAGTGAGTCCAGATGAAATGTGTGCCTTCTCCAAAAAGCCTTCCCTGACCTCTTCCCTTTGAGCCAGCATAGCTTGTCTCTTGTTCTGCCCACACTTCTCAGAGCAGCACCTGGGTCCTGGCTGCCTCTCTTTGCCCTGCAGCATTGAACTCCAGTTCCTGGCAGCTGAGCAGCTGCTGTGGGCATTCCTCAGTAGACGCTGACTTCAGTGCTGCTTCCCAAGAGCACGTTCTGCCTAAGGGCTGTCTTGCCCTGGCTCTCTCTGCGGCTCGCCACGCTTTCTTCTTGATTGGAAATGATCTTTTCATGGTCTTGAGGACAACTTCAGAAGAATTTATGCTCCGCTATCTAGAACTTTTATGTTTTGTAGTTTGTTATTCTCACTCTCCATTCTTTTGTACTAATAATTGAATCGTACCTCCTAAGGAACATGCCCTTTATACTGCCTTGCTAAGTAGGGGATTGTGGTCCTCATGGGGTTGGGTTTGTTTTGGTTTTTGGGTTTTGTTTGTTTGTCAAACCCTTTGGAGGGTTTGAGCTTTTTTAGTTTTTGTAGTTGGTGGTGTTTGGGCTTCTTTTTCTTTTGTGATTTGAATGAAAGTTTACAAAGCTCACTGGTTTTTCCATTCAACATTCACACACACTCAATGGTATAGATGAAGGAACTGAGGTCTCAGGTCTCCAGCTTCCAAATGGCTCCATTTACTATTAATGCAAAGCAATGCAACTCCAGGGTTTGCGTCCACTGCACTGTTTTGAGCTGCCCGATTGTGGTAGGAAAGGTGGTTTCAAGCTCTCAGGGCCCATGGCTCTTTCATGGACCTTCCTCTGGGATAATCGGAGTTCGACCCTCTGCATTCAGGAGCATGCTGTGCTGTTAACCGAAAGGCCACGCTGTCTGGCTGTGTGAACCCGTCCGGGGCTCTCTGGCAGGCAGCCTCGTCCCACTAAGCGTTACAGCCTCAGAGACCTGATGGAAGATCACTGTGTGTTGGAATCGATTCAATGGCGGTGAGTTTGGGTTGGTTGAGTTTGTGCTTGCCTCAGTTTCAGGTCTATGCGTCTGCTAAAGAATGACCCCGTCAACTTCCAGAAGTTTCCCTACACTAACGAGGATGAAGCCTGGAAGACCTACCTGGAAAACCCCTTGACGGCCGCCACGAAGGCCATGATGAGGGTCAATGGGGATGATGACAGCGTGGCGGCCCTGAGCTTCCTCTACGATTACTATATGGTATGTGGACACCTGTGGCCGTGCCCCCTTGGACCGAGTGTGTGCCTACACTTTTAGGTTTCATCTCCCCATGAGGATCCCCTCAATCCATCACCACTCTCTCACCTCTGAGCCTTTGTGCATTGTTACCCCCTCTGCTGGGTGCCCTCTCCTCTCCTTTCACTGACTAAATCTTATTTCCAGCTTTGGGTCTCAACCTGTGTTACCTCATCCATTCATTAAGTGGGGGGTAAGGTTTCTTGGGGTACACATTTTATGCCTCCTTCAAGCACCCTCGGTGTCTACCACCACCACCATCATCCTTGACACTATCCTTAGAAATTTGCCATTCTTTACTCTTATCTCGCCATTTCCCTCATGAGTTCTTGAAGGACAGGAGCCACACTATGGTCATTATTGAGCCCCCAGTACCCTCAAACATCCTTCTACACAGTGCTCAGCAAATATGGTCAAGTGCATAAAATAAAAGAGTGATTTCCCCACCTTAGCTACATACAGTCCATCAATACACCGCCAACTCTCCATTTTATTTCTGTCCTTCTTCCATGAATGATACCAATTTCCTTATCACCTCCACTGCCTGTTCCAGCTCCACCACCTAAAACACATCTTCTGTTCTTCTGAAGACCTGTCTTCTCTCAGGTGCCATGCTGTCATCTCCCTCTCCCTCTCCTGAATGTCTCGCTGTCCCTCCCACTCCTGCCACCACTTTATCCATTGTACCACCTGACAGACGCCCTTTTCTTTCCCTCTGATTGTTTCCAGAGCCTTGACCTTGACTCCAAAAGGTTGCTGAGAGTTGAGTTAGGTCATCCTATGTCTGATAAAGGAGCATGAACCAGTCAGCAGTTCTAAATACAAAATACACAAATGACCTCATCCCTCCTACCTCCAATGCCCAAGCCAGACATTGCTAATGGATTACAGGCTGCATTCCCACTGAGGGTACATAAGGCTGCAGAATCTTTTTCAGTTGTCACAAGAGGGCTAACTTACTTGCGATCTCTGGGCTGGAGTATAGCTCTAAGAGACTTTCCCAGATTTGGGGATACAGAGATTTGAATAGCCAATTTTTGCAATAATTGGATCAGAACCTGAAGATTTAAAGCCGTGCCACAAAGACACCTCCAAATGTACTAGCCCAGGGCATGTTCTATCCATCTCATCATAAGGAAGAAAGCAAAGTATTTGCATAAATACAGAGGCCACAGGAGGTTTCCAGATAGGAAGCAGCCCCAAGGATCTTTCTCCCTTTGGTTCTCATCTTGGAGGGTCACCCCATTCCACCTCTTCCCCTCCAGGCTGACTTTCCTGAGAGCAGGATCCCAGACTGATGACAGAGGGCTTTGCTTTAGTCCCTTAAGTTTAGGATTGTGACTACAGCCAACATTCTGGGTCTGGATTCAAACTCTAGCCTGGAGTTTATAGTTGAAATTAGACCACAAAGGAAAATCCAAGTCTTTCCTGGACAAGAGGTCATTTCTTGAGTCAGAATGGTGGGAGTAGACTCAGAAGATGACGTAGTAACTTAGAGAGTCCTAGCAAGACGCATGTCCCTTTCTTCCCCACTATGTCCTCACATCAGCACTCTGGGAGCACTCAGGATTCTGAGGCAGCCATGTAGATAGAGGGCACAGGGTGATGGCATTGAGAGAACACCAAGCTGGGGCTTTGAGGCCTAGTCCTGCCACAAGCTGGGAGTGTGGCTTTGGACACTATGGTCCCAAAGGTGACCATTCCCTGTTTCTTACTGCATACTGGACACTGTGCCAGGTGCCTCTCCTTTTTCCTCCATAGGGTATGATTAAAAGCCCAGGCTCTAGAGTCACTAGACTGGATTGGGGTCCTAGTTCTGACTTTATTAGCCATAGGGAAAAATGACTTAGACACTCTAAGTTACAAAAATATAATCAGAATCATAAAAGGTAGCATTCATATGTTGTTGTTGTTGTTGTATGCTGTGGAATAGGAAGGCATCTATGCTCACCACTATACCACCAACACAATGTGCCCTGGGATTGGAACTGACCCATAGCTGACCCTCCAGCTGGTTTCCCATGGGAGGAGATTGCACATCCTTCTTCCATAGAGTAGCTGGTGGATTCAGATTATCTGCCTCTGGGATTGTAGCATAGCTTCCTACTCACTAGGCCACCAAAGCTCACCAGTACATAGGAAGTATTCTTTAAAAATAGTGTCTTGGCCTTTTGGCTAAGATCAAGTGTAAAAATAGTGGTTACAGGTGTTATAATACTCTACTTAATAGATGAAAAAAACTGACGCTCAGAAATGGACAGTAATTTATCCAAAGTCACAGAGCACTTTTCAACAGTAGAAACCTTGTACATAAAGCACACTTGCCTGGCTTCAGATTCATGCTTCTTATTAACTGCTGCATTTGGGGAACTTCTCATTCTGTTATTTGATTTCCCTGCGATATGTGGTTCAGATTAGATTCTAACTAGAACTCCGGCCAACTCCAAAGAGTCCTGGATTTCCCCACAGTGGCCAAGATTGCCCTTTCAGGAAGTGATGGTGGCTATTAATAAAATAGTCAGTTGTAGCAAAGAGCTGTGCGTAAATTCTTCCATCCTCTTCTCTCCTTTCAGGGTCCCAAGGAGAAGCGGATACTGTCCTCCAGCACCGGGGGCCGGAATGACCAAGGGAAGAGGTGAGGCTTATTAGAACCACCATCTCCAACTGGGGAAAAGTCTCCAAATGACTTACTATCAGGGGCCAGAGGCACAGAACTGAAGGCCCATGGTATGTTTGTTGTTGTTAGTTGCTATTAGAGCTGGAACCAACTTATATCTGACCTTCCAGTGTGTTTTCAGAGGCAGTAAATCTCACAGAGGGAGATTGCCCATTCTCCTCCTATAGAGCTGTTGGTAGAGTCCACGCCAAAAGAATTAATTAAAAAAATTTCAGAATAAAATATTAAGTATGACCCAGTGTAGATAATATTTGCCTTTTTACCAATACTATTGTAAAATAGATTTTTTTAAAAAAATATATTTGTTGTGGAAGATGCAGTCCATGAAGGCTAAAGAGCCTTCCCCACCCACCACTGCTATCAGGTTGAGCCTGGGCCATAGAGAGCCTCCAATGGACTTCTTTATGGGATCAGGTGGCCTAACTTTTTCCAGATGAACTGCTGGTGGATTCTGACTACCAGACTTTAGGCGAGCAGTTCAAGAAGTGTCATAAAGAAAAACTGTTCACACTTACAGAGAGAGAGAGAGAGAAAGATACACACCCCAGATGCCTGCAGGCCATGTGGACCAAGTTTACTGAAAACAAACTTCAAAGACTTGGTGGTGGAAAAGCCCTGAAGGCAGCTTTTCTGTCTTGGCTCCAAAGTTCTGCTCCCCCAGGCAGCCTTCACTAGGGAGGGATACCCAGCTGGCCACCTGCTTCCCGGACTCCTTCCCTGGCTCATGTCCCATGGCTCTGCTGGGCACCAGGGCCTCAGGGCACTGATGTTCCTTTCCTTGAAGAAAGTAGGGGAGGCACGGGGAGGACCCTGCCCCTTTCTCCACTTTCTCCTTCTGGCGAATCAGGTGACCTCTCAGAAATGACCACCTGGGGCCTCTGCCTGGAAACCTGGGTGCTTTTCTGCCTACAGTCAAGTCCAGTCTGCTTAGACAGAGGACTGGCAAGAAGGTCGCGTGGACCAGCCTGAGAATCCAGGACCTTCCCCAAAATTCATTTTTTTTAAATAATATTAACCTTCTGATTATAGTCAGCAATACCTGTTGTAAAATACTTCCTCTCTGTAGAAGTTCTATACCAAGTGAATATTTCCTATAATTCTACTCCTCTATCCACCTTGGCAGTTTGGAGTATTTTGCTTCTAAGTCCTTTTTTTTTCTCTATAAACATATTGATTGTACCCACAAATATATAACTCTCGATCACCAGGGGGTCCCCTCAATATTGATGTTTTGAAGTAGGGACATTTTGTCACATGGATATTTTTACTTTGGCTAAAAGTAAACTATTTCAACTTCAGCTTTTTAAGGACTGCAATGGATTAGGGAGCTCTGGTGGTCTAATGAGTAAGGAGTTGTGCTGCCAACCCAAAGGCAGGCAGCTCTAATCCATCTCCTGCACCAAGGGAGAAAGATGACAGTCTCTTCCCACGTGATTTATAGCCTCTGAAACTAGAGGGTGAACTATGACTCTGTCCCAACTTGATGGCAGTAAGATTTTTTTGAGTGATGGATAAAGCAAGCATTTGCCCTGTAACTCTGAGCCTGTACCTAGTTCCATCTTTGACGTTCTCTCAATCATTCCTATAACAAATTGCCCTGGGGCATTGTGTCAGAGTGATGTTATTGTTGTTGTTAGATACTGTTGAGTGGTGTAAGACTTATGATGACCCTATGAGCAAAATACTTGAACGCTGTCCTATCCTGTGCCATCCTTATCATCTTGGACACACTTGAGCCCATTGCTGCAATCAATGTCAGTCCATCTCATTAGAGGTCTTCTTCTCTTTTACTGATGCTCCACCTTTCCAAGTATGAGGTCCCTTCCCAAGGAATAGCCCCTCCTAGCAACATGCCTAAAGTGTGTGAGATGATGTTTCACCATCCACCCTTGCTTCCAAGGAGCACTTTGGCTGCACTTTCTCCAAGACACGGCTGTTTGCACTCACCCTCTAATCCAGCCAGGGAACATTTGTCCTTAGAGAGAAGTAGTGATCTCCCTCCCTTAACCTTCCGCTTCCTCCCCAGGTATTACCACAGCATGGAATACGAAGCAGATCTCGCCCCTCTTGAGAGCCCCACACACCTCATGAAATTCCTGACCGAGAATGTGTCTGGAACCCCAGAATACCCAGATCTGCTCAAGAAGAACAACTTGATGAGCTTGGAAGGGGTGGTGCCCACCCCTGGGAAGGCCACGCCCCTCCCCCCAGGCCCCAGCAAGCTGGAAGCTGGCTCTGTGGACAGTTACCTATTGCCCACCAGTGATGTGTATGATAACAGCTCCCTCAACTCCTTGTTTGAGAGCATTCATGGGACACCGCCTACCCAGCGCTGGCAGCCAGATAGCACCTTCAAAGATGACCCACAGGAGGTGAGCCTCCCCCACACCTGCACCAGACCTCTTACAGCATCCATGCGTGTGTGCTGAGGGGGAGTGGACGTGGCTGTGTGCTCACACGTGAGAAGGAAGGTCAAAGCTTTGGAATACACACAGCAGTAAGGTTCCTAGAGCTGAGGCAGGGTCATTACGTACAGTTGTCCAGGTTGTACCCTAGATAAACTAGGTGTGTGTGGCAGCCCTGGGCTGAGCTCCCAGGAGCCTGGACATGACCGTTTGTTCTTGTGGAATTGTGTTTCTCTACAGACACTGCTCTTTCCAGATATCCTGAAAACCTCCCCAGAGCCCACATGTCCAGAGGACTACCCCAGCCCCAAGAGGTAACTCAACTCCTCTGGACCCCTGACCCTCTGCACAGTGGACAAGGGGCTGCAGACAGCGGCCCCCACTCCCTGAATATAACCTACAGGTGTTGAGTGCACAGCATCCTGTTAGAACACTAGGGTCTGCCTTTCTTAGTCTCCCATGCGGCTTTGTCATCCCTCAGGGGTCTCTCATCCCTGGACCCCCGTTGTTTAGTAAAATACCATAGATCAACAGCGGCATTAAGACAAACCCCTCAAACGTGGAACTAAGGCCAAGGCAAGTGAAGCAGCCAAGGTCATGGGCAGGTTCACGAGAACTACTCTCTGGGATGCTCCTGCCTGCAAGCTAGACTCACTGCCCTCGCCCTCCTCCCTGCAGTGACTTCGAGTACACCCTGGGCTCCCCTAAAGCCATCCACATCAAGTCTGGAGAGTCACCCATGGCCTACCTCAACAAGGGCCAGTTCTACCCTGTCACCCTGCGGACCCCAGCAGGGGGCAAAGGCCTTGCCTTGTCCTCCAACAAAGTCAAGGTGTGTTGGCCTCGGAGCGCGCTGTAAGTGGGAGCAGGACGGGCTAAGGCACATGTGATAGTGGGGCCAGCCAGGGACCTCTGAGAGTAGGAGTTGCTGGGGAACTGTCTGCTGGGACTGGAGAAGCAAGGAGAACTGCCAGAGCTGCTGCCCCAGGTCCTGGGAAGGGAGTGTGCTCACCTGGTCTCTCCAAGGCCGAGCGTGATGGTGGTCGACTGTCTTTGCAGAGTGTGGTGATGGTTGTCTTCGACAATGAGAAGGTGCCAGTGGAGCAGCTGCGGTTCTGGAAGCACTGGCATTCCCGGCAACCCACGGCCAAGCAGCGGGTCATCGACGTGGGTGAGTGATGACCCTAGGAGCTGAGGAAATGGGAGTGGGGGGAGTGCAGGCGCTACTCCCAACCCTACCATTATGGGGTGGGGGGGTCTTGAGCACCACACTTGCTCTCTCTGCACTTTGTTCCCTTACAACACGGGGGGTTCTATGATCCCCATGGGCCCTTCTTGTCTCACTGTAAGCTTTCTCCCTTCGTCAGAGCAAAGCATGGTAGTGGAAACTTAGCCGCACTCTGGGGTCAAATTCTAAATCCTGCCTTTGCCACTTTTTAGTTGAGAACATTCTGGTAATTTATTACAATTAAATTCACTGTAGAACAAGGTGGAAATCATAGTAATAATTTCTCAATAGTTCATGTGTTTGTGAATTGTTTGTATAATTAGAGCAGTTGCATTTATTGCCAGCTTGTTGCAGACCGAGGGTAATTTTATAATTATTAATAATGAAACAGCCAGCCAGGAATGAGGTAGAACAGAGAGCATAAAACAGGAGGGTCAGCAGTTCTTGACTGAAGACCCCAAGTCATGTTTCTCTGTATATTTATTGATAATCAGGGGAAGCAAAACATAAAAGAAATCCCTTGTAAATAAAGCCGAATTTTTCTCTATTGTCAACCTAATGCTCTAGCTCAGGAAGTATTTCGCAGATAGTAACACTCCCTCTGTAGGGGGCCCCTTGCTGTCTCCTGTCTGCAGGGAACAAACAGCTCATTTTCTGTGATTTGCCACAAGAGAAATCCTAACTTATAAATTTATAATTCCTTCAATTCCTGAACAGGGTTTTCATATAATATTTGGTATAAAGTTTGGCTTCCCATACCTGTTGACCGGACAACTGTCAGGCTAGGTGCTTTCTCCCCAGAGCAACACGGTGGAGAAGGCACTGTGGTCATTCTGACCATTCTGATGGGAAAACTCGAGCCCAAAGAGATGCTGTAAGTTCTCTACAATCGCACAGCGAGTGGGAGAACAGAACTCAAACACAGGGCTGGTTGGGTGGTATTACCTTCGCTAAAGGAGTGTGTTGTTGCTGTTGTGATACAGACCGTTAAGTCTGAACAGGTGCATTGCTGACTCCACATTGGAGTCTCAGAGAAGGTATATTGCTCAGGAGATTACTTGTCTTTCTCCCGTGGAGCAACTGGTATATTCAAACTGCATTGCATGCCTTTGGGTTGACAGGGCAGCTCCTTAACACTAGGCCACCAGAGTGCCCCTTTGTCACAGGTGTGTAGGACCCCTCACTCAAGATCAAGTGGAATCAGTATGAAACCTGTGGTCGCCTAGGGGTTGGCTAAACTGTTAAGCATCACCCTGGAAGGCTGGTGGTGTGAAATCACACAGAGGCACCTCAGAGGAAAGGCCTGGTGACCTATATGTGAAAGGGTCTGTGAAAGCAGTCTCCTCTGTAACAGGGTCACCATGAGTCAGAATTGACTAGTCAATGACCAATAACAAGAAGCAGAAAGCCATAGGCACAAACCTCCTCTCCCTTCTTCTGCCCTGTAACCCCCACTAACCTCCCTGACCTCCTGCCAGGACCTGGTCTCCAGGTCAAACACTGAGGCTTTTTGCAGGGATTTGCATCTGTTGACTAGAAGCAGAAGCCTCTTTTCTGTGTTGCTTTGGGATAAACAGGCAGTATAGATAAATAGACTCCTGGGGCCTAACATTCCTGCCTCCAGCAGGGGGTTTGGCTAATTGAGACTCAGATGCAGACACTATTTGAATGGCTTCAGGCCCAGAGCAAGGCAGTTTTGCTTTGGGAGCTGGGAGCCTCAGGATCTGGCACCAGGCAGTGGGCAGGGGGAAGGTCCTTCTAGTGCCGTTCTGTTCCTCACCTGGCTCCCCAGCAAGCACTGGGAGCCACAACCACCTTGGGGCTCCATCGTTTTTTCCTTGATATGTCATTTCCTTCGAGACTTAGCTTTCTAGACTATCAAATGGAAGCCATGTGCCCTAGTTGGGTTTGTACCTCTTGGCCATGTGTACTGTGAGACTCTATACGAATGTTTCTGTTGTAAAGCATTTATATGAAAGCCTGATAATAGAGAGTTTAAGGAACATGGGGTTGAGAATGGATAGATCTGAACTCTAATCCCTGCACTGGGAGCACTGGTGGCCTAGTGGTAAGAAACTGTGCTGCAATCCCAAAAGCAAGTTCAAATCTACCACCTGATCCATGGGGGAAGGATGGGCAGTCTGCTTCTGTGTGATCTGCCGCCTCTGAAAATCTGTTGGATGGTCAGCTGTGAGTCGGCTCCAACTCGACAGCACGCAAACACAATCCCTGCACTGATACCCAATAGTTGTATGATCTTGGGACTCATTTTGCTCCTGTGTGAGATGAGTATTGTACTTTTCAATAAGATTGACACAGGCGGATGGTGGCGGACAGGGCAAGGTTCAGATCGGTTGTTTATAGATACATAACAGTTGTGAGAAGAGGGTTTACCGCATTATAAAAGCCAAAGGTCACTACCACAGAGCCAGTTCAGATTTATACCAAGCCCCTGTTGGATTTCCAAGGCTATACATTTTTCCTACATGAAACGACCTTTCTCCTGTGGAGTGGCTGGTGAATTAATTCAAAGCATGTGGTCAGTGGCCTTTTAGTTAGAAGGGTAACACACTATGGGCTCTACTATTACTATTATTACTGGAATTACCACTTTTGCTAGGGAGCTCTGGTGGCCTAGTTACCACTAGAAGCTGCACTGCCAAGCTGAAGGCATGTGGTTCAAATCTACTAGCTGCTCTGCAGGGGAAAGATGGGCAACCTCCTCCTGCATAGTTTATTGTCTCTGAAAACCCACTGGGGGTGGGGAGAGGTTCAGCCATGGGTCAAACTCTGACTTGACAGGACACTGTGAGGCTGGCTCAGAATAAGACAAGGTTTCAATCTGTTGTTCATAGGGTTACCATGAGTTTTGGTCCACTTGCTGGCACCTAAAAAGAACATTCCTGTGGTGATTTACATGTTCTGATGCTGGAAGCATCGGTATTTCAAATACTAGCAGTGTTTCCCATGGTAGACAGTTTTCAGCTGAGCTTACAGACTAGTTGTTGTTAGGTGCTGTCAAGTCGACCATGACTCACAGCCACCCTATGAACAATAGATTGAAGCCTGCCAGACTAGACAGCCTGAGAAGCAGGAATAGCCATCCATTTCTGAAATAATGGGCCCTTGAAAACCCTATGAATTACAATGGAAACTGTCTGATACAATGCTGGAAGTGCTGTTGGAAGGCACCCAAAACATAACTAGGAACTATCCTACCTCCTCACAGTGCAGTGGCTGGGGCAAACCTTTCAGACAATGAAAGACCCACAACTCAAAATGAGGAGAAACAATACAAATAACCATTATGTGAACTGTACAGTTGGCACAGCCACTGCAACAGTGGATTTAATTAAACCCAGCAGAGTGTGAGGAGGGGTGCAGGACCAGGCAGTTCATTCTGTTGTACATAGTATCCCTATGCATCACAGTCATCTGGATGGCACTTAACAACAACAACATCACTGCTATTATCACTGTTAATACTACCACTGCTTTATCTAGTGCCTCTCCTAACTCATCTTCACAATGCAAAATGTAACACCACACGAGAAAACGAGGTGTGCCCTTGCCTAGGCAGCACAGCCAGGGGCTTTAGACAAATCCTCGGGTGGTTTTAGGCAAATCTGCTTCTCAAGTGGGGCCTCAGTTTTCCCATCTGTAACCCAAGGCAGAATAATCCAGCTTCCTCTTTGGATTGAAGTGTGGTTCTTGGGGAAAAGATGGCCTGGAGGGAGGCCTGGCTCCTAAGTGCTTCCTCATCTGAGTCCTTCCCTTCTGACTCCCTTCTGGTGTCCTGTGGTTACAGCTGACTGCAAAGAAAACTTCAACACCGTGCAGCACATTGAGGAGGTGGCCTATAACGCACTGTCCTTCGTGTGGAACATCAATGAGGAGGCCAAGGTCAGTGGTGGAGGGAAGTCCCGGGAGGAGTCTGGACCAATCGGAAGCTCCGGTCCTGATGAGACATTTGCCTACACTTAAGACGTGGCAGTTAATTGCTCCAGTGAGGGAGCCAGCAGGGAAAGAACAAAGATGATGTTCAAGTTCAAGGTCCGGAGTCAGACAAGACTGGCAGCCCTGTGCCTCTCTTTAGCAACTGTATAACCCTGGGAGCAATGACTTTGTCCCTCTGAGACTTGGTTACCTTGTCTGTAAAATGAAAGTGTAATTATAAGTTATAGAGAGGATCAATAGAGACAGATAAAAAAACAGAAAATAAGCCTCGTATCTAAATGGCAGCTATTATTATAAATCCCATCCTCCCATTTGCCGGATGGGAAAACTGAGCCTTGAGCAACATAGTAAGTTAGAGGCCAGCCTGCTGATTTGCTCAATGCAGAGGTTGCTGCACAAAAAGTTTGGTGTCTGGCAGACACCGTCACCTGCCTCCTTGGGTTGTGGTAATGATTCCACACGAGCAGGAATGTCTGAGACCGGCACCGTGCCAGGCCCAGGGAAAAAGCCTGAGAAAGGGGAGCCTCTGGTGATTTTTTTTTTCATACCAGTGATTAAGTGATTAAGACTTTCCCCAGCCTCACTACTTGGGTAGCTATGAACTTGCTATGAGCTTCTGAATATCCCTGGATCGTGTCTGTCTGTCTGGATGGATGTGTTTATCTTGGGTACTGCGGAAAGGGCACTAGTCTGGGCGTCGGGGGCTGGGTGATCTGGCCACGCTCGGCCCCTCAGTTTGCGGTGGGGTCCAGCTCATCACCAGGGCCTTTCTGCCTGGGAAGATAGGGAGCTAAGCCCGCCTCCCCGTGTTTCAGGGCAGACCAGGCCGCCTGGAGAAAACTGAGGTGAAGGGACTGTGACAACACAAAGGGACACACAAAGGGGAGAGATTATTATTATTCAAACAAACGCCAGGGGCTCAGGGAGGGGCTGGGGCCTCCAGTCAGGGGGGTGGGAGGAGAGTTTCGTGGGAAGGGAGCAGTGGGTTTCGGTTGGGATTTTCTCACAGCCACTTAAGCCCCCAGGCTTGGACCTTTCTCAGGGGGGCTGCATCGGGCTGAGCTGGCTGAGGGGGAGGTATGTCTGGCATGTGCCTAGGGTACTGGCCCCCACAACAGGGGAAGGAAAGGGGTCTGTCTGCTTGGGTACCTCATCCCATTCCCTCTGGTCAGCACAGGGTCATTTCCAAGGCAAATATCCTAATGTATGTATCTCAAAGCACAGGTGCTTGGGGTTGTAGTCTCACTTCAGGGGTCAGCAGGCAGACAGTCACCAGGTCACCCTGCCAGAGTGACTCAGGCCTCTTCTGAGCCCCATCTACCATCATCCCTCCTAGGCTATGGGTTGATACGTCCAGTTGTTCCATGCACAAGACCCATCACAACACATCAAGCAGTGATTACATGCTCAGTACCCTCCTCAGAGCCCACAGATCACCGCCCCCCCCCCAGCTGAGGAATCGATTCCACCTCACAGTGACCCTTCATTGGGTTTCTGAGGCTGTTAAACTCAAGAGGAGATTGCTTGTCTCTCTTCCATGGAGTAGCTGGTAGATTTGAACTGCTGGATAATCAAGCCCACAAGGAGGGTTTAACTAGACCTATGCTGCAGATAAGGAAACAGGCTCAGCAAGGCTAGAGGATTTGTCCAAAGCCACATGAAGGAAGTGGCAGAGCCCAGCTTTCCACCCCAAGTTGAGTGGCTATGCACCCAAGGCTTCAGCTACAACAACACTGCCTGACTCCACATGTAAACCCTACTGCTGAGATGCTTAGACCCTCTGTCTCTTCTGTGAATGGAGTAACCTGGCTGGCACCTTCATTGTGCTGGGATGCGAGCGTAGAAGTTGCATAAGCAAGCCTTCTCAGAGAAGGTTCTAGCAGTGTTTGGAGGTGGTGGGAAAGAGTAGCTGGTTTCATCCTGTATCTCCCTCAGCAGGAATGTGGTCTTAGTCCTAAACTAGGAGGAGAAGGACTTGGTCTTCTCTAACTTCCTGTTTAGAGTCAATTCCTCTCTTTCTTTCTCTCTCTCCCTCTTTCTCTTTCTCACACACACACACACACACACACACACACACACACACACACACTGAGGCTGTGGATTTTAGACTTCTGAACATCCCTGGTCAGGCTGCCTCTTCCAATAGCAGAGCGAGTAACTCAGTTGCTAAGAACCTCAGCTTTCAGCCTGAGCTCACACTCCGTGCCCACCTCACACGTCCTGTACAACCTTAGGGAAGTTGCCCCATCTCAAAACAGCAGTTTTCCTATCTGTAAATGACAAGTGATGATGCTGGTCTTCCTGGGGTTTTGTGAGGATCAAAGGCACAAACTAGGTACACAATAAGCTTAATAAACAGATGTTGCCTTGACAACCCGTGGAAGGTTAGCTAGAATTTGGTTCTGACTTGATGACAATGAGTGGACGGAAGGACCTATAACCTTGACATGTCTCTTACTGGCTTCCCCTCTCTCACTAGGTATTCATCGGTGTCAACTGCTTGAGCACAGACTTTTCCTCACAGAAAGGGGTGAAGGGTGTTCCCCTGAACCTGCAAATTGACACCTATGACTGTGGCTCGGGCACTGAGCGCCTCGTACACCGTGCTGTCTGCCAGATCAAGATCTTCTGTGACAAGGTAACTGCATGGCCGGCATGATGGTAGACTGGTGGGCAGGCAGCAGGCCGAGCAGACTTTCTGTGACTCCCTGGGAGTCATAGAAAAGAGCCAGGCCTTGACCGAGTGGCCTCCTTGCTCTCAGGCTAAATTTTTATTCTCTGAATGTTTCTGTCTGTCTCTACCAGCTTGACATTTGTTTGTTTCTCTATGTATATATGTTTCTCCATCTCTGCATTTGTCTCCATATCTCTGTCTCCTTCAGGATCTTTATTAATCTCTTTGTATTCCTTTTTTTCTCTGTGCCATTTCTACCTTTCTGTCTCTCCCTTTCTTCTCTTCTTCACTCTCTCCATCTTTCTCACTTCCCATCTCTTGGCCTCTGTCGTTCCCTCTCCGTCTTTCTCCTGGATTGCACTGACCTAGTCAGGCAGGGCCAGGCTCAGCCTAGGGCTATTGTACCTTAGCACAAGAAGTCCTGGCCTACTTAACATGCAGAACAGCAGTCGGGGAGCCAGCCAGCCCATCCCCAAGGCTTTGGTAACCCTGGTATCTTTCTCAGGGAGCAGAGAGGAAAATGAGAGACGATGAGCGGAAGCAGTTCCGGAGGAAAGCCAAATGCCCCGACTCCAGCAACAGTGGTGAGTGGAGAACGGGGTTGGCCTGCACCGGGCTGGGCCAGGCTGTGGGGAAGTAGACAGGGACACTGGCCAGCGTGGATCGGACTGGAAAGACTTCAGGACACAATGGCTTCTTCTTCCCAGCAGGCATCAAAGGCTGCCTGCTGTCCAGCTTCCGGGGCAATGAGACCACCTTCCTGCGGCCTGAGACAGACCTGGAGACCCCACCAGTTCTGTTCATTCCCAACGTGCACTTCTCCAGCCTGCAGCGTCCAGGAGGGGTGAGGGCCTCGACAGATTTATTGAATACCAAAGTATTTTTAAAAATCAAACATATGGGTGATATAACTTCAGAGATTTACTAAATGGAGAAGAAAGTCAATGGAAAATGGACTTTACACCTATTGAAATGTTCATCTGGGAGCCACAGACAGATGTAATTCTGATCTTTCCATCCCAGACTATATTGTGGACCCTCAAAGCTGGGTGGCTGTTACCTGTAACTGCTAATGCTGTTGATCAGGACGCATACGTGTGAGAGCTTACCACGTGCCATGCCAGGCGCTGTGTTTGAACACGCTCTTAACTCACCTTTAATCTTCTCCACTCCCTTGAGTCCTGGGGTGATACATGTGGTCAATGTGATCTCTGCTACTGAAAGTTTAGAGGTTCAAACCTCCCCCCACCCAGAACCCTTGCAAGAAAAGTTTGGTTACCTCCTTCCCTTTGACCCACCTAAAAAAAAAAAAAGTAAATAAAAAATCAGTCCTTGCAAACCCTGGGGGCACAGTTTTACTTGACATGTGAGATGGCAACTGGCTTAAAATTTCCAAAAGAAGAGAATGTTGTTTTCCTTGAATTAAGCCATTGCTGGCACATTAATTCTGATTTATAGTGACTCCATAGGACAGAGTAGAATTTCCCACAGGGTTTCCAACTCTGCCATAGTTACAGAAACAGACTGCTGTGTCTTCCTGCTGTGGAGCCACCAATAATACTAACCTTCCAGTTAACATCTTAGCGCTTAACTAGCATGCCACCAGAGCTCCTCTGCTTAGATTAGTGGTGTAGAAACTAAGGCACAGAGATGCTAAGAAACTTTGTAATATCCCATCATCAGTAAGATGCATAAGCCCAATCTGGACCGGGCAGCCTGGCTTCAGAAGCCATGCTCTTGACCCCAGCTTTCCCACCTCTGGCCCAGGAGCCAGTTCTGAAGAGCCTTCACCTGCCAGGTGGGCACTGGTCAAGCCCTTGCTGCACTGTCCCCTTTCTCCCTCACAGTCGTCCTGGGCTATAGCAGCTGGTGGTGGTCTCATTTTTTAGACAAGGTCTCATAGCAAGTCAAATAGCTGGAACCAGATTCCAGAACCATCAACTAGTTTGCTTCCACATGAAGCAGCCTGAGCACTTCCTTCTGTTTGATGTTAGAACCCATCACAACTTGGGTGAGAATGTTTGCAGAAATACGAGGAAAAGTGGTTGCTCCCCCTGCCCCCTGTAAATTTTTTCTGCTTCTCTAGAAAATCTAATTCCGATATAGCCCTTGGCACAGGCATAAAGAACTTCCATCCTCTCTCATTGCCAAGAAGAATTCCAGCCAACATTTCACATCCCCTTTGTATTTATCCATGGTGGACTGGACTATTTGGTTTTTTTGTTTTTGTTTTTTGGGGTTTTTTTTTTTTTGGTTTTTTACTATTTCTTTAGAATCAAGATCTCAGCTCTCTTAGAAGGACTTATCAGAGCAGAATGGGCTCAAAGGCACTGAGGCAACATCTTCACCCTCCCACCCCTTCCCCAGTGTTCCTTTCCAAAAGCCTTCAGCAGCTTTGGAGCCCTCTGGCTTCCTGAATATGACAGAAAATACTTTTTCTTTTCTTTGCAGACACTCCCCTCGGCAGGGCCCAGCAGCTCTAACAGGTACGGAGGGAAGCAGTCACGCCTCCCTGCTTGTCACCCCTTCACTGCTACCCCAGCCTGCTTGTTCCTCCTGCCACCTCCCAAGTCAGGGACTGGAGCCAGGGGAAGCGGACAAGACTCTACCCCCAGCCCCTAAGCCAGATTTCCGTTCTCAGTGAAACTGCCTGGGTTTTTATTAGTTTGTTTTATATGAAAAGCTGGCGAATCTCTGGCGAGACACCTGCTTGTAAAAGAGGAAGCAAACGACTCTTAGATGGTGGTGCAGATTCAGAGGATAAAGGAGAGGGGGCTGTGCTGGAGGTCCTAGGAGGATCCAAACCCCCTGCCCCCAGCCTAGAACACACACCTACCAGATCACCAGACTCAGAGGCAATGGGAGGGGCTGGGGCCCCTGAGTCCTTAGGGCCAAGAAGGATTCCACCCCTTTCCCTTTATCAGCCATAACCTTTGCAGACACCCCTCTGAGGCTTAACCTCCATATCTATCTAATGAGACAAAACATCTCTTGAGGATAGGGCACAGGCAAGAGATTGGGTGAGGGTGGAATCTTTGTAAAGGGGAAATCATTTGTTGTTATTATCGGTTCCTTCCTAAGAATCAAGCTCATAAGGTACTTTCACACTAAATTATGTCACCTATCACCTCCCAACAGCCCCAGGGAGTTGGGCAAGCAGAAGTTATTGTTTCATCTTATTACTGACAAAGAAACTGAGACTGAGGGAAGTGAAGTGACTTGCCCAAAGCAACATAACGATTAAGTAACAGAGGCAGGGCTGGAACCCAGTCTCACTCCAAAACCCATTGTCCTTCTTCCTCCCACTGCCTCACATCCGACCTGCTCTTCTACAATAGAATAATGTTCACGATGATAACAATCTAACACAAAACTCATTGCCATTGAGTCAGAGCCTACTCATAACTGACTCTTCACTGGGTGTCCAAGGCTATGAATCCCATGGGAGGAGATTGTCCATCTTTCTCCCACTGAGCCACTGGTGGATTCGAACTACCAGAGAGGCCTGGCCTCTGAGTTAACAGGGCCACTCTCCATGGACCAGGCCACCAGAGCTCTCTAGTGATAATGGTCTGTTTTGTTTTTGTGTGCCATCAAGTCGAAACTTGCCCATGACTGACCCTCCGGTGCCTTCAGAGGCAGTCAATGGCACAGGAAGTGACTGCCCATCCTTCTCACGTGGAGCAGCTGACAGATTCAAACTTCGAGCCTTGGCGATTACAGTGCAGTGCAGCTTCTTACCACTAGGCCACCAGGCATGCCAGAGTTCATGTTTATTGAGGCCCTACTGTGTGGCCCACTTGGCTCTAAGTGGAATATACATTGCTTCCTTTAACCTCACAACAGCCTCTTGAAGTAGCATCATTATCACTGTGCTATCATCCCTGTTTTATAGATAGGGACACAAAGAAACTAAGAAACTCAGCACAGGCCGTTCAGCTCGTGAGAGAAGGGCTGGGATTTGAACTCAGGCAGCCCAACTCCAGAAACCCATTGCCTTAACTATGAACCTACTCCTTTGTACCCTCATGGGGTCTTCTGCATCCCTAAGGCCTCTGGAGGGAAGTCTTGCTGGGTCTCTTGGACTTTGGTACCTCTCCTGGGTTCCTCAAAGCCCTCTTCCTGCTGTCTCCACAGGCTGCCCCTGAAGCGCACCTGCTCACCCTTCGCTGAGGAGTTTGAGCCTGTGCCCTCCAAGCAGGCCAAGGAAGATGACCTCCAGAGAGGTAACTCCCTTCTGCCATTCATTACCCAACCCCTCCCAGCTCCCACCCCCCATGAGAGCACTCCCAACACCTGAAACACTGATCCTGGCCAGGCAGACAGTGCAGGCCCCTACCCAGACAGGAGGGCCTGCTTGATCCCTCTGTGCAGTATTTAAGCCAAGTCTCAAGGCTGGGAAGTAAGGAGGGTACTGGGTGTTTAGAGAGATGACCACAGAGCTGGAGGCCTTCTGCCTTCTTGGACCTTGTTTGGATGTGGGCATCCTGGGGCAGCCTGCTCAGGCAGCCTGCCAATGATGTGGGGCAAATTGTCCACACTTTCTCTAATGGGGGTGGGAGAGGTGGGAGGTAGATGTCTGGCTTTCTGTCTCTGACACTGATATGTGACTTTAGCTGACCTGCTAGGTCAAACCTCTAGGGTCTGGAGTTGTTCAGCAGAAAAAACCCAAGTCAGCAGCCATGGTCAAATGCTCACAGAGATGGTGAATGGAGACTAACTCTGCACTTGGTGTTTTCCAAATACAACTCTGTGAAATAGGAGGTAGAGGCCTCATTTTACAGATGGCTAAACTGAGGGTTATGCTACTGAGAACACTTTTTCAAGGTCACATGGGGATGGGGATTCAAAGCCACCAAAGTTAGCCTGAGTTTAGGTGGCACGTGGGGACCTGCAGAACCAGACAAAGCATTTCCCAGCTGGCAGACCCTCAGCATGAATGTGCCCACTTGGCAGGAAACTGCCTCCTATTAAAATCCTATGCTTTATGTTTCCACATTCCTTAAGCTATCCCCATGTTCATTTATCCCCTTTGCCCTTCAGTTCTGTTGTATGTGCGGAGGGAAACCGAGGAGGTATTTGATGCCCTTATGTTGAAGACACCAGACCTGAAGGGGCTGAGGAATGCGGTAAGAGGCCTTCTGGACCCCTGCCCTGCCCTGGCCAGGCTCCCTCCAAGGTCCCCCTGACCTGCTCTTCACCACACAGTTCTGATTTCCCATGAGGAAGTCTCCTGGAACCTTGGCTTTCTGGTGGTCGGCAGGTCCCACCCCGTTTGAGGGGACTCGGGGAGCTGGCTGGTGGAGCTGTGCCTCTGTGATGTTATCTGTCAGCCTGGGAGTTGCACACACCATAAATCTCCTTAATCTGATGGCAGTTGTCTGACAGGCCGGGGCTTTTTGTTGGCTTTGCAAACCTGTTTCTGTTTTAATGGGAATGAAACCCAAAAAAGCCAGCCCTAGACACACACTTTTTTTTTCCTCTCTTCTTTCTTTCCTTCCAGGGGCCCCCACTCCCTCCTATTTGTGATTGGCTTGGGGGGCAGGTGGCAGAAGGTGGTGCCTGGGTAGTGAGGCCCAAGGAGCTTTCCCCAGCCCCTTAAACCACCAGAAAGTGGGTGAAACAACCCAGCCCTGAACGAAACCCACAGGCAGCTCTGAGGCTCAGCTAAAAACTGAGCAAACACAGCCTCCACCAAGGCAGCAGTGCTTAAAGGTCACACCACTCAGGAAAGCAGAGAGTTTCAAGATTAGGCTGCCGAAGGGGAAAATGAATTAACCCCCAAAACCAAACCACTGTCATCAAGTGGAATCCACTTTATAGGACAGAGTAGAACTACCTCATAGGGTTTCTAAGACTGAGTCATTACTAAAGCATGCTGCCTGCCACATATTTCTCCCCCTGAGCCTGTGGTGGGTTGGAACCGTTACCCTTTTGGCTGACAGCTCAGTGCTCTAGCCACGTCACCTCCAGGCTTGCAGGCCCACTATGAGCAGGTGTTTTCTCAAACATAGTACAGTTGCCAAGTCCTCACACTGTCTTAACAACCCAGAGAACCGGGTACTGTTATTGCTACCACTTTCTCCAACAAGGCCACTGAGCCTCCAGGAGATCAGGTGACTTGCCAAGGTGACTTGGCTAGAAGTGACAGAGCTGGGATTCCAGCCCATACTCTCTTCACTCTGCTATGCTGTCCTGGTCTCTTTCCATATCACTGGCCCTCGCTGGCACCAGACCCAGGAAGTTAGACTCACAAAAGGCTATTAATGTGTGCTCGCTTCGGAGGCACATATATTGCAATAGAACGATAAATGATACAGAGATTATTAGTATGTCCTCTGTGCAAGGATGACACGCAAATTCGTGAGCATATCATTTTTTTTACAAAAAAAAAGGCTATAAATGTCATTTGAATATGCCCCACAGTAAAAGTGGGAAGACGTGGAACTGTTAGATTGAACAGTGTCTGAAAGGGTCTGCTCCCCATTTGGTGCTGAGCTCTCTCCAAAACAGCTCCTTAAAAATAAATAAATACATATATACAATTCTCATGAGTTGGTATGATTCTAAGTGGTTTAAAAATCAGGGCATAACAAAGACCGAAAGGGCAGGTGCTGGTAGAATTCTGATCTAGCTCTGCGCTGAAACACAGCTAGGATAGGAATGGCTGAGTGAGAAGAACTGTTGTATGATTTCTTCTCCTTTACAGCTTTATTCTGAAATGGACAACAGACTCCAGGGTCACACTTCATTCTAACTGCAGCTGACACAGATGTTAGAGAGGGAATCTAGCTCTTCAAAAAGAAATAGAGTCAAGGCGATCTTTCTGGTAACTTACAGCCACACCATCACTAAAATAAAGTCTATGCTCTTTTCCTGCTTGAAGGAAATTCTGTCTGGGCAACAAGAGTCTTATAGATGGACCTGCTCCTCGTACTGAAAGGCCTAGAGAGAATTCCCTCAACCTGAAACCCTCATCCTGAGGTGTGTGGTGCTCCAAGGCAGCCAACAGTCCTAAACACGAGCCCTTTGCAGAGCTCATGCTCTGTGTCTGGGACTAGACTGAGCATTTTATGTAACCCTCTCAGTTCTTATGCAGAGTCAACCTGTGTGCACATCCCATTACTGAATCCAGTTTACAAATAAAGAAAGTGAGGCTTGGAGACACCAGCTGTCTTGTTTAAGGCCCCACAACTCCTGGTAGAGGAGCTGGGACCAGCCTAGATCTATCTGCCCCGCAGAAGCTTTGGGTGCTTTGCTTGAACTAGGCAGGCAAGTACTCAGATGGAGTGCTTGAACTAGGCCGACTAGTGCGCAGATGGATCACTCAAAAACCCTCTGAGCCACCATTTCCTCCTCTGTAGACTAAGCACTAATGTTTGGGGATGCGAGGGAGTAAGGAACCTGAATTTTAGGCATGGCTTATCCTACTCAAGCTTTTTTCCCTCCCTTATCAAGTTGTTGCGTTGATTGCCATTGAGTCAGCACGACTCATAGTGACCCTATGAACAAAAGGCCTGAAGCCTTTCAATAATTATTGACATTTATCAAAGTGCATAGTTTCCTGAGGCATGTTGTTTAGAAAGTGGATGCCACTCCTGCTTCCAACCCTTATCAAGAGAGGACAGTAATTCCTGAACTGAAGGGGAAACATTTAGGTAACAAGGGAAGGAACATCTCCATCGCTCCCCTACTTTTCTGTTTTTATTATTATTTATTTGAATGAACACTTACAGAGCTCGTGGATTTCAATTCATTCATTGTTGCATTTTTCTCCCCACCCCTACCCCCAGTTTGCTCTTCTTTAAAAGCAAAGAAAAACTCCTTCATTGCTCCCACTCTAAGATAATAACAATGGCCATTGCTGAAGTCTTAGCGCATGTTAGGAACCCCTCTATGGATTGAGTCATTAAATTCTCCCAGAAACTTAAGAGATGGATGCTCTTACTGTTCTTAAGTGACAGGTCATAGTCACCCAACTTTGGGCAGGGGAGGGTGGAGCCCTCTGAACTGAAACATACAAACATCTGACAACAAAGAGGGAGGTAAGAGGAACAGATCCTCTTTAGGGAATAAAACTGCTGTTTGGTAAGAGTTTGTTGAGATGTGGAAAACCTTATGATATGACAATGTCAAGTAAAACATTATCTAAAACTGACTAGAACAATGGGCCTCCACCCAGCAGAGATTATAAGAATAATGCAGGATCAGGCAAGGTTTCAATTAGTCATACACAGGGTCCCTCAGCAGCATCTGACAATAAAAACAACAGCAGCAACATGGAATATGAAAATATCTTTACATGTGACCAAAAAAGAGATGGTAAGGAAAACACCCAGATGTTATTCCTGTTAGCCTCTGAGAAGCAGGGTTTTAGATGATGGTCATTTTCTCCTAGCTGTTTTCCTATAATATAGATATATATTACTCTAAAGCTTTGAACCAGTTCATGTTCCTATTTTAGTCACTGCTGATGCAGTGAAATTGGAACAGAACTGAATTTGCTAAGCGCAGGTGTATCTGTACAGTATCTGGAATGGGGAAAATGATGCTCCCACCAGAAATGAGACTGGAAAGAGGCACAGGAAGCCCTTCCGGGAGCCTGATGCAGGAGATTGTACTATGCCAGCAGCACCCATGAGAGGAGGTTACCCCTGACCATCGAGCAGAACACTGTTGTTTCCACCTCTGCTGGTCAAGAGATTTGGTTGCTGTGTAACTGGGACACAGCCCTTGTTTTCTAGGAGGGAGATGAAATTTTTAGGGGGGTGTCAACCCACAATTTTTCCTCTTCTGGTTATCATTCTGATAAACTCATCTTTTATAAATTCAAGCTTGTTCTGATTTCCCTTCATCAGGCATGGCTGAACCAAGAAGAAAGGATATGAATCCCAGATTACTTTTAGAATCAGGAAATGAAATAAAATAACCATGATTTTTAAAAACTCACTTTTGAAAAAGAAGTAAAACCATGTTGGCACCAGACAATGACTCCTCTGCTGTTCTATTCCAGATCTCTGAGAAGTATGGGTTCCCCGAAGAGAACATTTACAAAGTCTACAAGAAATGCAAGCGGGGGTAAGTGCCCAGTACAGCTGTTCCTCCCCACAGCCCCACCTCGCTCCTTTCTCTTGGAAGTGACTGTTCAGGGAGTTCCCAGCAGATTCTTTCTGCCCAGCACAAGCCTTATGCTCAGTGCTGGGGAGTGTTTGTACCTGGCCCAGGGGAGGAGCTGAGGTAGAAAGTGCCAAATCAGGCTGAGGCCACTGGTCACCCCTCTACCTGCAGAGACCAGACACTGATCACTATTAATAGGATGGGCATGAAAGGCAGGTGGAAGGGCCTTTATATATTTGACCACTGGGAGTGGAGGGGGAAGTGTAAAGTCAAAGTCAGAAGACCCAGTTTCAAGTCTCAAGGCTACCGGATAACTCTCAGCAAGTCATTTGTTGATAATAATAATTATGGTGACTACTGGTTGTCTTCGCAGTTACTTGCTATAGATCAGAGAGCTGGACAATGACTAGGGATGTTAGGAGGAAAATTGATAACTTTGAGCTGTGATAGTGGAGAAGAGTATTGAATATACCATGGACTGCTAGGAGAACAAACAGGTTTATGCTAGAGAGGGTGAAACCTGGCTGCTCCTTAGAGGCAAGGATTCTGAGGCTCTGTCTGTTGCAAAGAGGGACCAGTCCTTGGAAAGGGACATTATGCTTGGGAGGGTGGAGGGGCAGCACTAAGCCACCAGAGCTCGCTTAGGACACTCTAGCTCCAGTTACATACTAGCCCCAAGAGGGTGATCAGAAATTTGCCCTGGGGCAAATCTGTGGGTCTAGAAGACAGGATAATCAAGGCAAGGTACCCTGAAGGTATAGTGCATTACATATTGGATTGCTAACCAAGACATCAGTGGTTCAAATCCACCTACTGCTGTGTAGGAGAAAGATGAGGCCGCCTGCTCCTGTTAAGATTTACAGCCTTGGAAACCAGATGAAGAGTCACCATGAGTCAGAACTGACTCTGAAGCCATGGGCTTTGGGCTTTGGTCTTTGGCTTTAGGTTTAACATGGTAGATAGGTTCTGTGCTCATCTGAGGTGCCATCCAGTCAGGCCCCGGTACTGGGCCTCCTTCCTATAGACCAGGCCCTGTTGCCTTACTCTCCCCTCCTCCTTCCCGCTCTCCCTCATTCCCCTCCTTGGTTCTCACCCAGCTTCTCACCGAAGGTCAGAAGGGTGGTGTCACTCCCTCCATCTCCTGGACTCCTTCTTTGGTTTTGGTTGTGCGTGTATCTAAGAGTTCCCCCCCCCCCCCCCCCCCCCCCCCCCCTAACCCCCCCCCCCCCCCCGATGCCACCCTGAAGTTTCAGTTTCAAACTGGAACTCACACACTCTCTGGGGCTGAACCTACCTCATGGCTGAGGGCAGGCCCCGTTCTGCCCAGACAAGTCCAGCCCCACTTCTCCTTCAGTGCCAGCACTCACGCCCCCTGGCCCAGCCCACCCACAGCAGGCCTCCCTCACAAATCCCCCCATAGGCTGGGCCGAAGACTGGGAACTGCCCCTGTGTACGAGTGTAGGGAGCATGAGGGGAGCAGAGAAGTGTGCCCCAACTCAGCACCACTGGCCAAGTTGCAAATCTTTCCCATATGCCCCAGACAGTTATTTAAATAATAATTGAAATCACTTCCACTCAAACAGTTACAGGGTCACAGCCTTCATAACGGGTAGAAAGAATCCAAGCCTGTCGAAAGCCTGGGCAGCCAACCGTTATTTTGTCAGGCCTCCTGCATGTTCCTCTAACTGGTGAACAATGTGTCAACAAAAGGCTGTGGCCAGCTGGCCAGTCAATTTGCCCAGTGTCACTGACCAGGACAGAACTAGGACCACTCCACAGCCTTTCAGATGAGGCCACGCCCTCACATACCCTCAGCCATGAAAATCTCAGCATTGTTTGAAATGCCTAGATAAGAATATTCTCACAAAACGTTCTTGAGACCGGGGAGGCAGGCTTGCTCTCCTCCCTCCAAGTCAGCCGTCTCATCTGAAAAACAGGAAATTCTAATCAGTGGCCTAGTTTATTTTCATAAAATCCTCTCTAAAGTCCTCTGGACAAAGGTAGATACAATCAGCTTTACAAGCACCACTGAGTGCTTGAAAGATTAGCAAATACATTGTTTTTGCTGGCAGCCAGCCAGGGGTATAATGCGACACAGGACAGAGACAGAGAGAAGTTGGAAAGTGACAAGAGGTTCACATTCTGTGACAGCAGTCCCTGACAAGCTCCTGCCTCTCAGGGCTCAGTTGGCATTGGCCTCTGAGTGTGAACGGGTCCGAGGGCCTGTCTGAGATGGAGCACACCTGCATAGGCCTGAACTTGGTCCTGGAGAGCAAGGAGTCAGCACCCAGAAAATGCACAGAGTCTAGTGCCTGGAAGCACCTGATGAATGTCACAATCTGAAAGAGACCCTTCCCCCCAACACCCCCTACTCTCATCAAACCCTGACAGACTGCCTGTTCCTCAGTTCTAGCCCTGGTCTCCTCTGGTCTGTGCCCTGCCTCCTGCCCCTAGACAAAGATGCCTCTGTAAAATGAAGGAACTCCACCAGGACTTGAGGAAACAGGATCCTATGATTAAATGTTGGCAAGCAGCACAGGCCTCTGGGGCCCCCCATCCTCAGACCTACCTCCTGAAAGAGGCACTGCTTGCTTGACTGATGTTGGCAGAGGCAACTGTGTGCCAAGCTTTGGGCTCACCAAGGTCTCCTTGGCCCCATCCAGGAGATGGGAGTTGTGAGCAGCTTCATAGAAGTGGACATCTACCTGGCAAGAGTCAACTGTGTGGGATTCTCATCACCATCCTGCCCAGATGACAATAATCTCTCCTCAGCTGAACTCTCTCCCATCCTGCCTTCCTTGCCTTGTACATGTCACTTCCTAACTTGTATTTACAGAATGGTTTTTTCGTTCCTTTCAAATCTTGGCTCTGTTTGATCTTGGGCAAATGACTTTACCCCTTTGGAACTCAACTTCCTTTACTAGATTCTAAGTAGTCCAGGTCTAATTCGTCTCTCTCTCTCCTTGCCCCTTGTTTCTGGAACGTGGCAAGGCCTCATAACTGCTCATGAGAGGACTAAGTAGGAGGAGTACAGGTGGGTGGATGGATGGTGGAAGGTGGAAGGTGGATGGCTGATGTTTGGCTAGTGATTCCCATGGCATTACATGCTTAGGTGACTTAGCAGAGAAGGGACCAAGGCAAAGCTGCCCTGGTCAGGCCAGATCTTGGTGGGTTCTTTATCAGAGGGGTAGCACCTAGACATATGCCTTTAGCAACACACTATAGTTTTGTCCCTCTGCAGAGACAAGGCCTTGGAGCCTCTGTCCCCCTCTTGCCCCAGGTCCCTGCTTGGAGAGCGGGAGGGGTAAGCTGCACCAGTGGTACCGCCCCCTTGAGACTTTGACTTCCTAGAAATGGACCCGAGAGGGTGCTTGTGTTACCTGCCTCTCATGCAGGCAAAAACATGTGAATGCCACATTGCAACTTCCTGCTGTCCCCAGACCACACTGGCTTACCTACCACACCTCCCAGACTTGAATGTAAACTCTGCATCCAGGTCCTTTTCTATATGGCCTGGTGATCAGGAAGTATGTATGCCCCTCAAATCAGCGTATTGTTGTTGTTATGTGCTGTTGAATTGGAACTGACTCATAGCTGACCCTCCAGCAGGTTTTCAGAGGCTGTAAGTACACAGAGCTCTGGTGGTCTAGTGCTAAAGAAATTGTGTTACCCACCCAAAGGCAGGAGATTTGAATCCACCAGCTGCTTTGAAGGAAAAAGATGGGTCATCTTCCCCCGTGCAATTTACAGCCTCTGAAAATCTGCTAGAGGGTCAGCGATGAGTTAGTTCTGACTTGATAATATATAAGAACAATAAAAAAATCACATGAGAGGAGATTACCCATCTTTTCTTTTTCCCATGGAGCAACTGGTGGATTCAAACCTCCTGACTTCACATTGGTAGTGCAACTCCTACCACTAGGCTACCAGAGCTTACTCAAATCAGCCTCTTAGTTGCTCAGAAATGTCCATGTATTTGTGCATCAGGAGAGGGGTGAGTTGGCAAAGTAGTCATTGGCATGGTGATCAAAGGTCTAGGTTTGAATTTGGTTTGACCACTTATATGTTGTTGTTGTTGTTGTTGTTGTTGTATACCACAGAACCAAACCATACCTGATCCTTTGGAGTGTTTTCAGAGGCTGTTAATCCCACAGGAGGAGGTTGCCAATACTGTACTTCCCTATAAAGAGGAAATGTTAATGCTCACTTTACAGAGTTTTTACAGGGATCAGACAGAATGCTTTTGAAATGCCTAAAACACTGGAGTATCCAAAGGGTAACAGCCATTACTGTCATCCTTGTAATTCAGAGAGTCTGAAAAAAAGACGACCATGGGGTCTACCTTATTCCAACCACATCTCCTCCTCTCTTCCAGAATCCTGGTTAACATGGACAACAACATCATTCAGCATTACAGCAACCACGTTGCCTTCTTGCTGGACATGGGGGAACTTGATGGCAAGATTCAGATCATCCTTAAGGAGTTGTAAGGCCCAAGCTTCCTAGCCCTTGGACCTGGTCGTGTAGAGCTTCAGCCAAAGAGCCAGTTGGAAAGTGGCCCAGTGCCACACACAACCTCTGCACATGCCTCAACGCTGTTACTTGAACACCTTCCCTGAGGGAAGAGACCTCAGCACCTACAGATGTCAGACCTTGGTGGTCTCCCCGTCGGAATCTCCATCTCATGCTTGAATTCATTTCCTGAACTTCCTGCCAGCACCTGTTCACCAAAGACACTGCCATCATGGTGAGCATGTTCCCAAAGGACTGGTTCCTCCTCAGAGACCTCTTCCTGCAGCAGATCTCCTGAAGGCTAAGGTGGTGAAAACAGATTCTCCATCCCAGCAGCTCAACGTTGGCGAACCCTCTGAGTTCTCCCATCAATGTCAGGCTAAGCGTTTCTTACCCTCTGTCGGTTAACTTGAACACTCTTGTTTTTAGTGCAAATGAGTTTTAAAGACACCCGTGGACTTTCTCGGTGTAAGATGTAAATACTAGAGCTGATCTGCAGGAGCAAGATAGCCCGTGTATAAAACTCCCTCATACCCACTCACTGTTGTACACATTTCTTATTTACAATTTTCATTTATATGTTATATATATATAAATATATTGTGTGTATATATGCAACATTTTATATTTTTCATGGTTACATTTTTATCATTTCAAAAAATGTGTATTTCACATTTCTTGGATTATTTTTTTAGCTGTTATTCAGTTATGCATTTTGTATACTCATATGGTATTTAGTAATAAAATTACACCTATGTATTACTTCAAATGATGATGCACTTGTTCCTTTTGTGGAAGTCTGGAAGGAAGAGAGAGCCAAGATAGAACTGACTTCTCCACCAGCCCTTTTAGATGATCTCGCTCTCCCAAATACTCTGGCTTATACAATGGTGGTGGTGCTAAGTGTTGGCAGGCGGAAGTGTCTCCATGGAAGGCAGCGCCCCTAATGTCCACATCTCTAACTCCATGCAGTCCCAAGGACTGAATGTTAGGGCCTCAGGATCACTGACTGTAGATAAAGAAGATCTGGGAAAGATCCGGGGTGACCTTGATGAGCACCTTGACTTGCTGGCCAGTGGACAGTGCACCGGGCTGGGGACTTTGTGACCCGAGGTCTGTGCCAGTTCTGCCATAACTTCAGGTCCAGTCGCTTTCCCCAGATCTGCCTCCAGCTCACAAATGTGCGGCTCTGCAGTCTCTGAAATTACTCAGAAGCTTGAAATGGATCTGGGTGGGTGGGAGTATTCACGGCACAGAAACTGGCAAATGCTACACATTGGGGCTTTTATTTCATCTCAGACTCACTCACTGCCAAAAAACCAAACAAACAAATAACAACAAATTAAAAAGGAAATTTTAAAAAACAAATGAAAGACAAATTTAAAACAAAACAAATCACTGCCTGAAACTGATCCCAACTCATAGCAACCCTCCACTGGATCTTTTAGCTGGAATTGTTAGCAGGAGAAGCCCACCCATTTCCTTCCTCACAGTGGCTGGTGGATTTGAACAGCTGGAAACGTGTACCCTTTTGCTTAACAGCACAACGTGCAATGACTATACCACCAGAGAGGAAATAAGAAATTAGGGCCGTTTAGGTTTGGTTTGTTTTTTTGAGAGCTGCAAGGAGGGACCAATCCTTGGAGAGGGACGTCATGCTTAGGAGGTGGAGGGACAGTGCAAGAGAGGAAGACCCTTGATGAGATGGATTAACTCAGTGACTGGGGTAACGGGGGTAGGTGTGTTAGAGACAATAAGGCTGGCTCAGGATAGAGCAGGGTTTAGGGTTGTGTACATGAGTTGCTATGAGTTGCAGGTGACTCAACGGCACATAACAACAACAACAACGTAGCAGCACTCTAGGCCTCTAGGGTTTAGTTGCTTTGACTATAAGATGGGGTTAGGTTGGAGAGAGGTGGTCTAGACTGGCTGGTTGTAACTGGCATCCTTAGAACCTCAGGGTTCAGCAAGGGTTCAGAGGCTATTCTCATGGCTGGGAAAAACAAGGAGGGGGCAGCAGGCAGGCCCCCTTCAATTTCAGCCATAGTGGCTCTCTCTCAATGTTTTGTCTGAACAAAACTTTTTAAAAAAAATTTGGACAACCCCGCAGATACCTCCATAGGCTTCCAGGTCTGACAGGTACTCAGTGGTCCTAATCCCCAAACCCCAGTTCAGGGCTGGGACTAGGACTAAGCAAGTAAGGCACTCATCTAGAAAGCAAATATAAAGGGGTGTCAGGGAACAAGAGAAATAATCATCCACCCCAATCCTTAATAAACAAGCAAACAAAATCAGTGTCAAAAAAATCCATGGTGAATCAAAAAGAAATCTGAGTTTTCAGGATGTTTCTTCTTGACTCAGCCTCCGATACAGCACTGCCGAGGGGAGCTCTAGAAGCATCCAGAGGTGCTCTGCACTCCCCAGACCTTACTGACACAGTGGCATCACCTAGAAGCCAGAGCATGCTCATGAGTAAGGGCTAGGTGACAGGTGTGGCAGAGCCAGGTACACAGGTACACGTGCTACCACAGCACGTGGCACCTTCTTCCTAAGCCTCCAGCTCAGCTCCCCTCCCAGGACTGTTGCAAGGGAGAAGGCAAAGCTTCTCCACCTTAATCTCACCTTGTTATCCCCTGGGCAGCTTTGTATCCAGCCTCACCACCCCCTATCCCCCACCCCACTACTCAGAAACTATCAAAATTTCTGGAGATGGGGCTCAGACTTTAGTACTTCTTAAAGCACCTCAGGTGACTACAATGTGCAACCAAAGCTAAGAAGCAGGGCTCTGAAGAGGCCATAATTACACATGCCTGGAAGCCTGGGCTCTGTCACTGCTAGGACTGGGTCAACCCCCATAAGGAATCATAAATTGCCATGCCAACTTCTGAAAGCTCAGGACTAGAGCAGCAACCCCCTCACCCCACGCCGCACACACACACACGTGCGCGCACACACACACACACAACTCCAGCTAAACCCCAGGGCGCATTTCTCTTTCATACGAAGAGCTGCCAATCACTACCAAGGCCGCCTGGACCTCAAGGAGAGTCCCACAGATTTAGAGAAACTCGGCTTCTGCTTTCAGAGAAGTCAAGAGCACGGGGGCAGCTTGTGAGCTGATAGCTGTCTTTCTGATAGTCTCTCACTCTGCACAAGACTGGGTGGTGAATTACAGGTAAAGTGCTTTCTCACGTCCTAAGTGAGACTGTCCACTGGAGAAACACAGCCCTTGGTTGGTGGTGAGAGCACCACCTGCCTGCAGAAGCCAAAATTTCCAAACCACTGCTAACTTCCCATGACCCGGTAGGACAGAGCAGAACTGCCCTAGACAGTCTCCAAGGCTGTCAATCTTTATGCGGGAGCTCTGGTGGCTTAGTGGTAAGAAGCTGTGCTGCAATCCCAGACATGCGGGGTTTGAATCCACCAGCTGCTCTATGGAAGAAGGACAGGCAATCTCCTCCCGTGTGATTTACTGCTTCTGAAAATCCCTGCGGGGAAAGCCCACTGGAGGATCAGCTAGGAATCAGTTCTGACTCAATGGCACACAATAACAACAAAACAAATCTTTATGGGTGTAAACTGCCTTCTCTTTCTCTCCTACTCTTCTCTTGAACTATTAGGCTCAAACGGCTAATCTTTTCCAGTTAGTAGTTGAGTGCTTTACCCATTGCACCACCATGGTTTTTCACCCTGAAAACTAAAGCATAAAGAAGCACCAGGAATACTGAACCTGTCCTTAGGTTTTTTTGCTTTGTTTTTTATCACTGTGACTCAGAGCCAACTACCTAACAACAAAAACATAGACAGTTAAATAACAAAGTGCATTAGAGCCTAGCTCAAAGTGTGGTTCATGGACCAGCAGGATCCGCCTCACCTGAATGTTGGTAAAAACGCACGACCTTGGGCCCCACCCTAGAACCTGCATTTTAACAAGCCCTCTAAGTGATGTACAAACACATTAAAACAGGGGAATAAACTCTCTGCATACCCTAACCAGACCAACCCCAATGCACCACTGTCGATTCAACTCCAATCATAGCTTCTCTCCATCAGGTTTCTGAAGCTGTGAATCTCTACAGGAGCAGACTGTCTACCTTTCTCCAACAAAGTGGCTGATGGATTCCAACTGTCAAACTTGAGGTTAGCTGCCCGTATATTATACACTAGGCCACCAGGGCTCCTTTTCCTAGCTGTAGCTAGATAGTATGACCATCACACTGAGAACTTTAAACAAAATGCCAGTGTTCAAACTGTGCCTCAGTGCAATTACACAGGACAGAGAGCTGGGGCCTAAGCAGGCTGTCTCAGTCACGGTTCCCAAGGGGACCCGAGGCACACTTAGTGCTGGGAGTAACTAGACTGGAAGCTGAGTGACTTACCACATCATAAGTGAGGCTGGAAACAATCATGACAGACTCCCTTACCTTAGGGCCTCTGCTCCAGGGAAGTCTGCAGACTGCATTCTGATTTGAGTCCACACCTGTATGGCCAAGACTACCCTAACTACTGACCGGGAGACCAGAGAACACTGCCTGTGTCTCCTGAGGGTCCACCACTAGCCTCTGCTAAGCAGCCCTGAGGCCTGGCTGCTTCTGAGGCTGAAAGAACCTAAAAATTCAGGCTTCCAGATTTAGTCCCAGCGGCCCAGTGTCAAAGAATGGAGCAGCCTCGACTATCAGCCTTCAAAGAGTCTAAAGAACTTTCTGACACTCTGGTGCCACTGATGGTCCATAGGAGAGTCTCCTTTGCCCTGAACAACAAGAAGATTGAAATATACTTTTTTACATTTTCCGATTGTGTTGTAAAATCTTGCAGGTGTGACAGCAATTAGCTGGACAACGCTGAGGGACCTGGAGATGGAAGCAGCCCCAGTTCTGCTAAGTGTGCCACCCCACCTGGTCTACGTGGTCACTTGCACTGCCCACCCTGCCCCTCCCACCTGGTGGCCTACTTGGTCTCTCGCACTGCCCACCCAGCCCCTAGAACTATTTGACTTCCCCTGCACGGACCTCCCCAAAGTTCCAAGAGAATAAAAACACAAACATTTCTGCTTTTAATCCAGAGCTCACTGAACATAGCAGATTCCCCAGTGAGCTCTGGGATCTGGCCCTCTCCTCCTAGCACAGTGCTCCCCACTGCCTCTCCCCATTCTAAGTCAACAGGAAATCTCGAGGTGATGTAGAGCAAAGAAGGAGGCCAGTTTTCATGAAAATCAAGAAATCAGTTTAATGGGATACGTTAGCCCACATTTCCCTTCTGTCTTTCTGACTGGCCTCTTCCCATCTGAAGAGCCAATCATGGGACAGTTTTGATACAAAAGCCCAAGATGGACTGGTCACAGCCAAAAGTTAGAGAGCTGACAGCAGGTGAGGGGCCTTGTGTGGATGGGAGAGAAAGACAGGGACAGAGAAGAGGACTGGAGGGATGGGGGTAACTGCACAAGAGACTTCCATTTCCACGAGTGAAGAATAATATCACTATTTGGGAAAGAGGGGCCTGGGGTTACTTCTACATGCTTGTAGCTCCTTGGATATTTCCTCTTCTTATTAAGGGTCAAAAGAAAAGCTCCTTTAAAGGATGAGTCAAGGTTGGTCAACAAGACTTTCCCTGACTTGACACTGGAGCAGGAGGTCAAGTAAGGGACAGAGTCCTAGGTCAAGGAGGGGCAAAGGTCAGGGAAAAGAAAGACCCTTTAGGTGCAGATGGAGCTCAGCCTCCTGAGACGCCTCAGAACTGCTCCCTCCAGGGCTCTGGCTCCAGCAGGGCCCTGTCCATGTCTGCCGTCATATGCAAAGCCTATAGTTGATGAGCTGCCCTTCCTGAACGTGAGTCATGGGTACAAATGACCACAGGGACTTGCTTAAACAATGTCCATGTTCTTCTGAAGGCTTAGCTGGGGAAAAGTGCCCAGGCAAACTTTGTGTCTCTGTCACAGGTGCTCTGGGCCTTCCCCACTCTTCTAGAACTCAAGAAAGAGTCTGGAAGCCAAGGACAGAAGAGTGAGGTAACACTTGGCCCCAGCTCTCCACTGTCCACTGTGCGGGTACACAGTGGGACCCAGAACCCTGGCCCAGACTCCTGTCTTCTAGTCTGAGAAGCTGCCAAAGCCGGCTTTATGGTGGATTTGCTTTCTCGTCCTTGGAGTTCATGCTCCATGATATGGAGGCTCCCGAAGCCAGCTTGACGTTTTGAGAAGGGCGGGATAAAGGCTCTCTCCACTCCTCACATCCACTCTGGAAATGCCTGAGTCAGCATGGATGGGGGTCCAATCTCTAGGAAGCAGTTGGAAACAAGGACAAAGGGTATACAAGGTCATTAGGTATCACAGGAGATATATATGCGTTATGCCCCTGTACAGCTGAGGGGTGCAGGCAGGAGACTCCTGTGGCATCATTACAGCACGGGGATCCATTTGTTGTCCTCGTTGTAGAGAAAGGACTGCTTCCCTGGGAATTCCGGCTTGTAAGTGGCTGAAAGGAGAAAGACAGCACTGTGAGAGAAATGGCCCCAGGGCCCCTGTTCCAGCCCCCATGTGTTCCATGAGGGAAGTCAAGGTCACAGAGTACTTCATTTGATGAGGCAGGACTTGACCTCTACTCCTGCCTTCTTTAAAACCGTATCAGAAAATTTGCAAAAATACTTAGGAAAGCAGTATATTTAAAACGTGAGGCATTAGCTTGGTGGGATTTTGTTTTGATTTCATCATTACAGAAATTTCTGGAAAAGTGAAAGCCACCACCATTGCAGACAGGGTTCTCTAGAAGATAGGCAGGCATGTCTAAGAAGGACTCTGAGTCAACCCTCTAAGGAGACAGGACTCCCCCCGGGTTGACACTGATTTCATTAACAGCTTCCTGTGAACAGCTTTTCTGGTAATGTGCCTGAGAAGCTGCTGCTGAGAGCACAGGGGCATCCAAGGATCTCTGTGTCCTCTGGAACCAAGAGGGCTGAGGCCTGCAGGTGTCTATGCCCAGGAGGTCTGTCATGGAAGCTCACCTGGGCCGAGGTGGTCAGAACAACAAGGTGTAGAATAAGGTGCAGGCCTGCACCTGTGTGTTAATCTCCTGACACCAGGAATGTCACAGAGAACCCATTATCCAGTGCCATCAAGTTGCTTATTATTCCAACAAATATAGGCCATCGCTGGATGGTATATGGGAAGAATTTCCAAAAAGTCCTAGTGTACTGGGCCTGACAAGGATGCCTACCATCTGCCAATTTCCCGGAGCTCTCCCTCATGTGGAATATTTGCACATTTACTGAACAAATCTGATACCACAAGATTAATCCTCTCTCGTCTTCGTGTTTGTTTATCACTGTATTTCCAAGGCTGAAGATCTGATACCACAAGATTAATCCTCTCTCGTCTTCATGTTTGATTATCACTGTATTTCCAAGGCTGAAGCTAGGAGAGTGAAGTTCTCCCCATGCGGTCTCCCTTTGCTTTGATATGTCAGAAGAGGATGGCTCCCTACCAGACTGAGGCCTCTAGGAGATAAATGCCAGGTCTAATGTCATCTCAGGGAACTCTGATGGCCTAGCGGCAAGAAACTGCAGTGCAATTCCAAAGGCAGGCAGTTTGAGGCCACCAGCTGCTCTGCAGAAGGATGGGCAATCTACTCTCTCGTAATTAACCCCCTCTGAAAACCCACAGGAGGGTCCAACTCTGTGATAGACACAACAAGCAACAATTTCATCTGTGTGTTCCCTGGTGGAAGCACCCTCAGTTCTTAGTGAAAGGTTGAATTTAGTGGTCACCACAGCTACTATCCTCCTGCCAGGTCACAGCTGTCATTCCCAAATGCCACCGGTTCTGGACACTGTCGGAAAGTCATAACTAGCTGTGGGACTCTCCAGAGGGCCAAGCACGGAGACTACCCATCAGAGCTAGTTAGTTCCTCCTGACGTGGGTAGATCTCAATGGTAACAAGATAGGTAGGTATGTCATTACTTCAGCTCATCTGTAAAAAGGGAGTTGAACCCAGTAGCTTAAAAGTGTCCCAGTGAATCTTCTTTGCTTTCTTTCACAACAAATGGAATTAACAGGAGTCAGCCTGGCTTCCTCCCCCACCTTGAACTCTCTGTGGATCTATGAGCTCCTTGCTTCCTAGAACTTCTCCATCTATAAGAACATGGATATATAAATTGTACAACTCAAAATGTTGAATTGGTAGCTGTTGGATTATATGTTTTTAACAACAGTTTTTTTTTTTAAAGAAGAAATAAAAAAAAAAACTTCTTGGGAATTTGACAAAAGCTTCAACTTTTTTTCCACCCCAGAAAATAGATGCATGTTCCAAATTCACGTATACTATCAAGACGCTTTGGCTAGACTCTCTGGAGCCCACCTTTGAGCCTCCTAGAGGTTCATGGTAATCAGCTCTGAATCTCTGGTTTCGGTCATCTAGAAAAGCCCTTTCAATTAAATAAAAAAACAACAGAACACATACTCTGAGAATGTGAGCTGATAACTTTTCTCTAAACCCTGTAACCTGTTTGGCAAACAGCCTATAAATCTTTGACATTTGATGGCCCAGGAATGACAAACAATTCCAGAAGATTTGGTTTTTACAATCATTTAAAGCAGTCCTCTGACCTGGGCCGGGTAGTTCTGGCTCAGACGGGGCCATCGTCCATCGACCGGTGTTGGACATAAATGAGGCACTCGAGATGAAATGCTTGGGGGGCCCTTCATAATCCACGATGTCATACTGACCAGGGCCTGGGAAAGACGGCTTTGACGGCACAGGCAAAGGCTGGGCAGAGATGTTCAGCATGGGGTGTTTCCTTCAGAAGAGACAGAATGTGAAGATATCACTAAAACAGTCCACTGGCAAAACAACAGTTTTGGGGCATAGCCAAGATATGGGCAGCACCAAGTCAGGTCTAGACACAGCCCCAGGGGACCCTGGACAGAACCCTGGCTGCTCTGCTAGTGAGCTGAGGTCTCTCGAGTTCCTGTCTCAGTTCTCCCATCTGTACAATGGTGGCCATAATAATACCTACCTCATCGGCTTGTTTTCAGGATTAAATGAGATGCTGCACCTAAACAGAGTCTGGCATATAGTGAGAGCTCAGTCACATTCCTAGGAGACATTGCTGTTGAGTTTATCACAAATGTCAGAAAGCATCCAGCTCACATGTCTGCTATGGCAACCCTGTGGTCCTGGCTACGGCTCTGTATCCAGAATGCCGACGTCTCCTCTGGGCTCAGTGGGAAGAGGCACTGGTGATCCTCTTGTGAGGTCTGCCAGTGGCCAGGGCAAGGGGGGAGGAAGCCCACATTCTAGGATTTGTCATCTCAAAACTAGCAGATCTCTAAAGACTATTCCAGGAATCCTCCTAAATATCTTCCTGAAAAGAAGGAACAGCAGAAGAGAAAGATATTGGCAATCCAGATAACCCTGCATGAGACTAACCACCTTATAGTCTGTTTTCTGGTCTACCTCATCCTTCTTCAGAAAAGGGGAGTCTGTCTTTTATTTCTAATATTGAGAGAACGCGTAAGTGAATGAATGATTAGGAAACCTGGCCTCGAGATCTAGCTTGGTCAGTAATGCACACTGGGCCTCATTTCCCCCACATGTAAAATGAAAAGGTTGGACAAGATGACCCTCAACTTTGCCTCAAATGATTCCTCAGGGTTAGCCCAGAGGATTCTGGGATTGTCATGGGAGTAATGTTACTCTACCATAGTCATCTCAGACTGTGCAAAAGAAGAGAGGCCTACTTATACCTCATATCTGGAATTTCCTCTAAGGCCTGTCATGAGAAGGAAGGGAAGGTCTTCAGAGCACTGAATGGCCAACAGAGCCTCAACCTACCTAGAAGCCAACCACCCAAGCAGAGGAAGTGGCGAGGATTCCCGCTCACTAGGACTCTGTTGCCTGTTTGCCGAGACCTCCAAAGGCAGAGGTATTCTTAAACTCAGGAGCTCTAGAAAGGTCCTAGAGAAATCTCACCCAACCTCCTTGTTTTGCCAAGAAAGTTGGTGCTCAGAGAAAAATGCCTATTCCTCCAGTTATACTGCAAGTCATGGTACCACTTTCACTAAAACTCAGGTCTCCGGGTGCCAACCAGTGTAGGGAAGGCATCATGGCAGAGGGGAGAAAGTTATGGAGTTTCACAGACCTGGGCCTGAATTCTAACCATGCCACTTACTGGCTTATGACCTCAGACAAGTTCCCTAACCTCTTTGGACTTTGCCTGTGGCAAGAATCAATAGTACCTGCTCTTTGTAAGGGGATTATGATAGAGAAAAATAGGGAAAGCACCTAGGACAGTGCTGGTATATAGTAGATGCTCAATAAAAATTGTCATTAGTATTAATATCCCTGTAACACCACCACATATGACTTGGTCACAGAGAAGTAAGCAAGCCTTAGAAATAGGAGTTTGGGGGGCCACTAATAGTAGTATCCCCCTGAGGAAGCTGTCTTGAGTCACTGTAAATTACCTTGATATAACTATCCATGATGCCTGATGGACAAACTGACTTGGGTGCATTTAAGAAAAAAGGTTTGAACAGGAACAGTGTTGGGGAGGAGAAAGTAGCATCCTTTCTTCATCAGCCTGTCTACTCTGTATTTCAAAGCTGACTTCTCCTTGTTCTGGTTTGTGGCTCCTGCTTCAAAGCACCCCAGAAATCTGCTGAGTGTGTGGCTGAAATTGTTGAGGTGAGTTTGAGTCCCAGAAACGAAAACTAGAATGAGCCAACCATTGGCTGAAGTCAGTTTGGGCCCAAGGCCAAGCTTTCCACCCTGCTCTTTGAGAAGACCAGGAGGTGGCTCCTCCCATGAAACTGGAATAAGCCAAGTCAACATCTCACCAATGCTCTTGAGGAGAATGGATTAGACTCTCGCCCTCCTCTCCATCAGCAGAGCTTGGCACCCTCAGCCCACGTCTCTAGATTTTTGGTGAGCCCCAAGGATGTGTGACTTCATGTCAGGCATTTGGCAAGTCCAGACTTTTTTCTGCTTTGAATGTCCCCAAAGACTTGAGAATCTCTTGCTGGAGAAGATCAAGTACAGAACTAGTGACAGCCTGCTATAGTTATCAGAGTCAAAAGCAAAGGCTCAGCAGTCAGACTTACATTTTCATCTCCACTTCCTCATTCAATAGCTTACGTCTCTTAACCTCCCTATGCCTCAGTCTCTTCACCGGTAAAAGGGTGAGTAACAATACTGCAGCCCAGAGTTCTTATGAAGATTAAATATAAAGCACTGCTATCCCTTTTAGGAGCTGTATGCTAGAATAAAGGTGAATATTTTGTGTTTTGAAGGTATGTGAATTCTAACAGGTGAATCTAGAAATCTATCCTGGAAAGGGGGCATTTGCCAGGAAGGATGAGGAATTCTTATGCAGAAAAGGAGAGAAAGGATAGTGCCAGCAGAGGGAACAATCAAGGCAAAAGCCTCATCTCCCTTGCTCCCCTGCTCCCATCCTACATTCCAGGACCAGCCATCACAGCACTGCTCAACAACTCCATGTCTTAGTCCATGTGGTTTCTGATGCCACAAATACCTACTTTCCCTGCCAACTCTATTCATTCTTCACCTTCAGGGGAACTTCTCAAGCCCCCCTCCTGCTCCTCCCCCTCTGCCTTTGGCATTCCCCTCCTCCGACTCTTTAGAATCCAGTCCACCTGGACCCACTAGCACTGTGGTAAGTCAGCGCTTCATCCATGAACTAAAAGGAGCAATGCCTCCGGCAAATGACCTCTGTAAAGGTGCAGAGCTCAGGGCAAGTGGCTCTGGCAGGTCTTTTTTTCCCCCCTCTGCATGTTACACAACATCCTGGAGAGGGTTAAACCAGGCTGCTCCTTGGAGGCTAGGATTTTGGGTCTTCGTTTGACATACTTTGGACATGTTGTAAGGAGGGACAAGTCCTTGGAGAGGGACATCATGCTTGGGAGGGTGGAGGGACGGCGCAGAAGGGGAAGACCTTCTGTGAGGTGGGCTGATTCAGTGACTGGGGTAATCAGGATGGGTGTATCGGAGACAGTGTGATTGGCACAGGACAGCAGAGTTTAGGGCTGTTGTACATAGAGTCACTATGAGTCGCAAGCAACTCGACGGCACGTAACAACAACAACATGTTACAGAACAGATTTCCTGAGTCTTGTGCCTGCCCAGCTCTTCCAGGGAGGAGACAGGATTTTCCTCCTCTTTGACTGTTGTGTTCTGGGATCATAGGAAAGAGCTTGGGGTACACTTGCTGAACTGCAGCGGAAAAGTGTCTGATGACAGACAGTTAAGAGAACTTCGACATTCTGACCCCCATCTGACAGTCTGTCATCTCCCAGACCAGGAGTCACCATGGCAGGTGAGGCCAGGCGAATCACAAAGGTCAGGCGGGATCAAGCCCAGGGCAGCCCACTGAGCATTGTGACTGGCTTTTATGAGCCTCATTGCTCGGTTATAAAAGCCACCTGGCCCTGCCTGGTGGAAAGCACACATCTCTCAAAGGCTCTGCATTGGCCACAATGGGGATTAAGTTGTGTTTGCAGCTTCCAATGTGAGCTTGTTTGCAAATCATCGAGAATAATGAAGGTCTCAGAGGACTCAGCAGGCACCCAGGAAGGCATCCGAGACCCTCAGGACACTCCCAGGCACAGGTCCACTCTGCCTCAGGGATTCCCAGGGTCGGGAGGGAGAAAGGGGCAATTTTTTTCTTCTTTCTCTCTCATCATTAAAGGGCAGCCGATTGCCTCTGGGGTGGAATGCAGTATCTGTTTAACAGGGTAGAGGGTGACAGATTACAGGCGCTGGGGAAGAAGCATCCCATATCTAATTGAAAATCCCAGGGGAACCTTAGGTGGGCCCAAGGTAATTACTTAAATTGGAGCAGGGCCAACAGGGAGGGTTTCTTCAACGCTGGCTCTGGTGAGATGGCATGTCTGTGCAAAGCCAATGGCTCAAAATCTCCAGGAAGTTAGAAGGCCCAGGGTTAGAGAGATGTCACTGGGTGGTTCGCCTCCTGGTTGGCAAGTGGTGAGTTGGGAGGCTTCCCCTAAGAGGAACTGTTTTGATCTCCGAAAACCCTCTCCTGACTCACCTGAATCCACTGAGTCATCACTGTGACGGATACTAAATGCCTCAAGAAGTGAAACCGTGGCGGACACTTCACTTCTCTTCTAAAGACACTTTGGAAGATGAGAAATCCTCTTAGCTTTTGAGTCAGCAAGGAGGTCACAGTACAGAAACACCCACGACACGCTCTTGGACCAAACGTGTGGATTTGCAAACACACCCCAGTCCCTGGCAGGACACTTGTCCCACAAGGACCACTGCAGAAACATCAGGAGGGAACAGATGAGTCGCTCACACATTTTGTTAAAAATGCTACCAGATCCTGTTTGTTTGAACCAAAGCCCAAGCCCATCACCATAGAGTTGATTGCTGGGCTGTCACTCCTAAAAGCAGAGCTGCCCCATAGGGTTTTCGTGGCTGTAATCTCTGTGGATGAAGTTCACCGGGCCTTGTTCCAAAGCACTAGTGGGGGATTTTAAACCACCAAACTTTAGATTAGTGGATGAGTAAAACCTGTTTTCACCACCCAGGGACCCTTTAACATTTAGTGAGAACTTAGCACGCCAGACCTGGGAATGATGTGGACTACACCTGGGAATGATGTGGATATTCTTAGTTTACCCTTGCAAACCATGTTGGGAAGATAGATTTGAGTTCCCAGAGGTTAAGTGGCCCCTCTCCCAAACAGAAGGTGTGTGACTAGCCTGTGCTACGCCCACCAGGCCACCCTGCCTCTGACGTCTCCCTTGGCAGCAC